GCCATTGGCCACATTTTCAGGTGCCAACTGGGCTAAAACGTTACTTTCTCTGGGCCTCCAGAACCCTTCAAGTATCAAACGCTCCCGGTACTTCAACACACACAGTACAAAACAAACATGAACAATTTTAAGGTGGTTTTGAGCCATTCCTTCACTGACGTATTACTACTCCAGCACAGCATGATTAAGGACAGGCAAACAACAGCACCGCTGCTGAAAAACAAAATCCTGGGGGAACACTGATTAATGTTCTAGGGAAATATGGTAACACCTCGATTATTTTAAAATTACAATTATTTTTCCAGTGTTGTTGCTTCATTATCACCTGCAACAAGGCAACAAGAATTTTAATCACAAAACCACAGATCCACAGGCCTTTTCCACTGTGGGAACCGACCAACCCGTAATGGAACTTGGACCCCTTGTCCTAGGTTCTGCTTTTGTTTCCCCTGCGCTCTGACCCATCTTGGAGAAAAGTTCCTGGAGCTTAATTTTGGCACCCCTCAAAATCAAGTTTGAGGTACTCGTGTGGGACTTCAATTATAGTGTTCTGTAATAAATCCTGAAGTGAGCTGACAACGGGAAACACAGTACAGATTTCTGCAAGACTGTGTTCTGCTTGTTTAACAGCTGTTTGATAATCTGCTCATACAGTCTCTGTTACTGGCTGATTTTGTTGCATGCATGATTAATGAGCATCATGATCACTCAGCCCTGCCCTCGTGTAAACAGTGACCGACACTGGGACAAATGTGGTGGAAAAGTAAAGTGGAGCAGACCACATCAGTCCTTCAGGTTTTGCCAGATTATGGGAATGGGAAGCCCCAGACCATAGCTCATTAATCTCTCAAGTTGGAAAAAAATGCTAATGACCAAAAATTTTTTCCCCTCAACCTACTGAAAACTTTCCAACCAAACATATAAAGAACAACTTTACAGTATTTATGATCAATGTCTTTTAGCCAGGTGAGTAGTAAACAACAAATGGCCAGAAGTAAAGATAAACTAGAGCTAACATGCTCAAAATGACAAGTATTGGTACTTTTCTTCTTATGCTCAGTCATTTCTGAAAGGACACCGGCTAGTGCGTTGGCACTGCGGATAACTACATGCAGAATAAATGTGCACACAAACTCAAGGGAGCATATGAAAGAAACAATACTGAAAATTCAAATTTGGGTAAAAACCTGAGCACATCTTTGAGTCATGATTACAAAAAACACCCCACCCTTTTCAAGCTTGGAGAAAATGGAGTTCATTGTCTGGGAAAAACTCGCACGATTGCTCTTCCTTCTCAGTTTGTTTGAGGGTGTGTTGGTCCAGACTGGCCTTCTAATACCCACTGCTCCAACAGAATTTGCATAATTGCTGGCCTCATTCACACATTAATATTTTGCTTTGGTGAGCGGGTGCAGATAAACAGAACCGCTGTGTGTACATTCTTAAAAAAGGAAAACAGTGGCAATGGCTCCATCTCATTCCAAGCTGCTGCCTTACAGCAGCTGAGGAGGCACCATTATGTTTATCTGACTGTTACACGATAAACACTGAGAGCCTGGCACGGCTTCTGTTCTTTGGGCTTCTGTAAACTACAGTCCATCACCAGAGGCAAAACCGGTACAAGACCATGCTGCACAGCATGTTGTCTGTCTTCAGAGCCCAGTATGTACAGCTTCCTCACAAAAGAGCCTCTCCTTCTTAAGGAAATGGGGTGAAACAAAAATAATTAAATAAATGGCCTTGAGCTACAGCATTGTAATTTGCTGACCATAACAACATGAGTCATTCTTCACTTGGCCTTTACTAATAGGATAAATGCCTCAGGGTAATTTCTAAATGAAATCCTGAGGCTAAAGTGGTTCCCCAGACCAACCTAAATCACGTTTGATATAGAAGGATTATCCCTGATTGAGTTTATTGCAAAGACGCTTGTGACAAACTGGAGAAACCACGATACTTCCACAGAGGTGAGGCTTGCCTGTCAATGAGGCGCTGCAGTTTAACACTTCTGTATATCGCCGCTACTGCGTAATCATCCACCTACAGCAACTGGTTACTCTAAATAAGCAGAGACAATTCTCTGTCATATGCAGCAGATGAGGTGAGAGGACCCCTGCTAAAAGCCCCCAGCTCTGAGGCAAATGCTTTGTCTTACAGTACCTCATCGAGTGCAGAGCTCCCTGCCTGTTCAGGGAGGACTAGGACTAAAGCCCTTAATCCCTGCCTTGATTCACGATAGCCTGCTAGGTTTTGAAATGTCATCAGCGGGGAGGTGTGTCCTGCTCCCGCCCCACACACTCAGCCTGTTAATACAATAACAACACAAGGGTACATCCAATAAGAAAAGAACCATATGCATTTAATTTGGGTGGCTGCACACACATATATACATAAACAAGCATCAGTACAAAGAGCAGGGAGGACTGACAAGTGTTTGTTGTGTGTGACAGCTGATACACTAAATATGGACTACAAAGTAAATGTGACCATAAAATGACTGGCACCAACTTCACTCTTTCATCAGCACGTTCTCCTTGCTAGATTAATGAAAACACTAGTTTTCATGAATCAAAGGCAGCGTCTCTGAATATGTGGAACCAGTATTCAGCATTAACTTGTGGGCAAGGAAAAGATGGTGTCCCTAACGCCGATGCTCCACTTCACAGCCCACGGTACAGCTCTGTAAAGACACATGGGACTTTTGATGAGCAATGCTTGTTGTCTGGGGGATGGGTCTTTCCTAGTGTGGGCTACAAGTTTGCAGAACATAATGGGATTTTGCTTAAGACACATTATAAAGGAATTACATCAGATGGTACTTGTGATATTTATGGAATTGTAGGAATACAAGCACAAATGCAAAGATGTAGCCTCAGGTAAAGTTAACAGTAGTTAATATTAGTTAACCAACTGCTTTATTTTGCCCAATATTTAACAAACATTTAAGGCTTCTTGACAAATGCACAGTAACATTATTTTATACTACATTAAACGGATTTAGGTGCAAACAAGACACGTTCTGGATAGTTTTTAAAGACATTTAACTGCGGATCTCACCAACTGTTAGTCCTGAATTGCTGATTTTTATATCGACCTTTTACTTTGCTATTTTTTTATTTAGTGCTGTCAGTTTTTCAAGCTGTGAGACGTGAAGTTAGTTTTTCCCATTTTGCAGGAGCGCTTGCGCACAACATGAGCGCCGTACACCATTTGGTAGGCTATGGTCCTGGGCTTAGGGGTGGCAGAGAAACTGATGAGCCTCTTCCCATTCATTCATGGTAGAACAAGTGTCCGTGTGCCGTCTAAACTCCTGCCTGACACAAAGCATGTTAAAATTAAGCGTACAGTGAGTCAGCGTGGCGACTGTTTCCACCCAGCGCTTACCTCTCCGGCCGCTCGCTGCTCCTGTCCCCCGGCGTCTGTCCTTGTTTTGCTACGACGCTGCTTATGTATGAATGCTGGCGTTATCCCGCAAAGATTACTGTTACATTTTACAGAAAAGGCAACAACACTGTGCAGCGGCAGCGGCTGTGTGCTGCTCGGTAAGTGGCCTGTCTGTGTACCACGGTGCACGTCACCAAGTGGAGCGGACAGGACTTGGCAGACGCGTCTTTCTGCGCTCGCTGCGCGGCGGCGTATCTGGGATGTAAGCGACTGCTTGGACGGACTGGCACACCGTGTGGCCACTTTACTCCCGATGCGGCTCCTCCCCTTCCACTTAGTTTTGCTCACATAAGCCTTACAGCGCCTCCCAACCGCCACTGTGTGCAGTTGCATGTACCTGCGGAGCTGAGTTTGCACCACAGCGTCAAGATGGACCGTCCAGTCCTCACAATAGGGGTTCTATAATTGAGAGGGTTCAAGAGGTTAATACAGGCTCAGATTTGGTCATATATTTCCCACAATGAATAAAAAAAAATCAACAGCTATAATTATTTAATGCCTGCTTACAGTGAAAACAATTTCAGGCCATGAAGACAGTTCATGGAGGGTCAGACTCTCACTATATAAACATTGTCTAACACAGGGTCTTTTTCATTTCTTGTCCTGCAGTGTCCTGAGCACTGCTGGTTTTTTCATTCTACCTTTTTAAATGATAATAATTATATTTATTCACTTTGCATTCCAGTTGTAAATTAGCCTGATTAGATGACCAGAATGAAAATCAACAGCCTCTCTCTGTCTGGATCCAAATAGCTTAAGATCAATATCCTTTCTGTTTTCCTAACCACTTTTCTATAAACACAATGAGCAATATGAGGCAGTCAAGTAAAGACAAGAAGAAGGAATTATATAAAGACAATTTGACATCTCAGGAAAAAAATAATTTCAAACAAATGAATGAATAAAATGAATGGCACCTGAATTCTAGGTAGCAATTTTGGTTGCAGTACATTTTTCAACATTTAGACAAATCAACCAGCTCTTATCTTGGCTGCCTTTCAGATAGGCTACTTGTGGGGCAATTAACTCAGGAAGCAACCTTTTAAACCACAGTTTCTGACCACATGGCAGCTTTAAGTACTGTCCATATCTTGACAGCCCCTTTTAAAGCTTTCCAGTTGTTGTTTAACAGGGCTATTTGTTCTTACCTGACAGATTATCACCCTGTCAGTGAGACATGATGTTGAACCTTTTAGAATGTGCTGGTTTACTGTTTTTTATTTTTTACTGCCTTACTGTAACATCCACACCAGTGTTTTCACCAACTTACTTCTCAGGCAGAGCCTGTTTGATTGGCATCTTTATCAATCTACTAAGGCAACTCAAAGGTGCATATTAATGACATCATGCTATTTCCTGCACAGCTCCACCTATTTTCCACTTGGGTGGGGGTCTAATCACCCTGAAGGGATAACATGAAAACACCTGCAGCAAAACTTACAGCAATTTTATTTGTATTTCAACAGCCCTTTTTTCACAAAAGACACTTTGACATAAGCACGGGTGTAGATTTAGTTGGTGCAGTTTTACAGTCCTGGCATTGTGCGTGCTGGCCCGTGGTCACACTGCCATGAATTATTGGGACACTTGAATAGAACAGAGCCGTTGTTAATGTTAATAGTAACACCTGCGCTTTGCCGGTAATGACAAGCCAAAATGTTCCTGTAGAAAAGGCCTATTGGATGTTAATTGCTAGGAAATAAAAATGCCAATTAGCTGCAAAGCACTGTATAGTCAATGCTGAGTTACATTATTTTGTCTTTTGGTCACACTTCATAAGCATTCCAGTTCTAGCTAATGACCCAACTCTGACTGTTGTAGGTTGTATGAAGACATCTTTGGAAAGCATGTTCTCTAGAGTAGGATTAGGCTCATTTGCAGCTCTTTGTGCACAGCTCCTTTACAGAACATGGCATGATAAATGTGTTTCATTTAATTTTGCCACGTTTTTTTGCAACCCTGATGGTTATCATCCTTTATCATGTTTTCTTGTGTATCCAGGAATACCCAGTGGCGGAAAACTATTCAGACATCCTGTGGTGTCTTTGACCTCAGGTAGTGTTGTGGAACTGTTTTTCACGAACTGGGTCCCACGTTAGTCATCACTGTTAGCTAGTAGGTATGGATGTAAACATTAGGGGATTGGAAATACTTAATATGTATAAAGTTTTTTATGCATTCAAGATACACACAAATACACACAGACTGTGTTTTAATGATACTGAATTTCTTTTGTTTGTTTACAAAGAAAATCTACAGTCAAGTAAAAGTAATAAAAGTGTATAAATATACTGCTGCAAGTCTTGCATTTGAAAGTATGTACAAGTGAAAATGGGATGGGATGTTATAAGAAGTGTTTCTTGAACTGCGAGTAGTGATTTCAAACAGCTGCAGCTCTGGCAGCTACAAGTCTGGCCAAAGGCAGCCATACTGAGGAAATCATGTTCTTTTTCACAGAGAGAATGAGCAAAAACCACGGTTATCATCAGTTTGCAGTTTGTCTTTTAAAGATGGAGAGTGCTAAAAGCAGCCAAAGGAGTCAGATTGGACTCAGATGTGATGTTCTTGCTTCTGGATGCACTAGCATATAAAGCCAACACATTTCTTGTGGTAAAATGTGTGACCTAGCATGATCACAATTTTACTCTTGTATTGAATTAATATGATTTTAATTTGCACTTAATTCGAGCTATGTGTAACATTAGTGCTTTGTGTGGCATTAGCAGTAACCAGAGTGTTCTACTGGATTTTTAGTCAGCTAACCTTTTGTATATCTTGTTGCATCTGGGCATCTGTAGTTTATGCTGTAGCTTTAGGAAACAGGACCTGAAGGGAGAAGTAAAGAGCAGTTACGTAGGAGCAGCTTATGGTGCCAGTTTGTTTTAAGTCTCACTAGGCCCTCGAGGCTGAAAAGAAATTAGTTAGAGTAGCTTTAAGTACAAAAAGTATACAGTACAGTTACATAAGATGCAAATACTTAAGTAAAGCATACCTAAAAACTACAGTACTGGAGTAAATTAAATTATTTATACTCCACCACTGGGAATACAAGTCATGATTTTATAGAATAGTATATTAATAACCTGCTTGACATACTGTATATGTAGATATGTGTAAAATGGTTATCTGAGATGTGTGAATGGCTGTGCACTTATTTATAAAAACCTGAGACAAAGCATAATATGGCAAAATATTCACTATTAGCTGTAGGAGAGTAAAAAAAAAACTAAAAAAAAACAGTGTTCCCAGAATACATGTTAAGTATATGCACTCTAAAATGCTTGGGTAAAATACTTGAGTGCTCCCCACTCCCTAGACATCCGGCGTTGCATCTGAATGTCACAGTCACACTTGGCAGACTAGATAGCAGGCCTTATCAGAGGTCAAATTCTATTTTGAAGTAATTTCAGAAGCCTTTCAGCTTTGCTTTTCAGCCATGGCAGAATATGAAATGATGTGCAACAGTGTGTAGGAATTTGTTGCAAAGCCCCGTGAGTCTAATGTGATCCAGCAGGTACTAGTTTGAATCATAAAGGACTTTTATATTACAGAAAAAATGTTCCTATCTGAGATCTCGAATTCATGAAACGAGTGTCCCAGATGAGTATCATGTTGGATGATGGAGCAAACTCTGTGGGACCATTTGATGATGATAAACCTATTTTCAACAACATGACTCAGAAATCAGTGAGAGACAAAGAAGAGGATGAGGAGGGTGGGCAGTACAACTCCACAGTTAATGGCAAACTTGATAAAAATGCAGTACAATATCTGTAAGAAGTAGAGAACAACGAGCCATCGTTTGATAATTAAGAAAACTGTAGTGTCAGGTTTTGTATTAGGACAAATCAGCAAAAACCTCACACTGATTTTTAAAAACATAAAAGTAAAAAGTCATTAAAGTTATATATACTTTTGTGTGTGAAAAAAAAAACAGAGTAAACAAATGTACAAGAACCTGTCACCAGTTGGTTTTCTTAATTAATTTGAATTCAAACTAAACTGAAACCACTTCAGAAAGCAAGTGTCTAAGGTTAATGCTTTTTTTTGTAATTCTGTTTGTGTAAGAGTTCTGAAACTTGTTTTGCCATTTTTTTCATTGGTTATTTTGTGATTACATGCCTAGCCGTTTTGCAAGGCCTTTTGTTACCCCTGCCCTTTGCTGTGCCCTAAATGTGACAGAATCTGGAGACTGTAAACAACAGTAATTGGGCTCAGGGGGCAGTAGGCAGAAACAAATCACATCTATGAGCTCAACTGTCATTTTATCTTGCTGTCTGTGGATTTATTTCCTGTGCAATCCAGAATAGTGAAGTGAAAATAGACCATAAATTGATAGATGAACTCTTGCTTTCTGTGCAGGAGTCTTGTGTCTAGTCTAATAGAGTTTTTTTTTTTTTTAAAGTTGTGTAGGAGTTAGAGATCTGCAAGGGCTATATGTGAAAACTAGGAAACTCGGGAAAACGTGATGCTTCCATTCACTTCCACAGAATACCAATCAACTTCTATTCATCTATTATTTACTTCAGGATACATATCAGCCTGGTTGTACTTTGCACTTCGACATCAATGCCTCTTCTTATACCAAAAGTGTGACGATTGCAGCTCCAGTGAAGTTCTTTTACGGCCAGTGTATATTATATCTTTGTCAAACTGTGTGCAACGTTTCTAAAATCCTAGTAGTCTGTACTGTGCTGAGAGTGTTGTTCTACATTATTTAGTAACTGTCTTTAGTGTGTGTGCTCCAACAAAACAAGTTAAGGATTTTGTGTAACATTTGCTGTTGTGAAAGATGATTTTGAACAAATACCTGGGATTGGGATTGACATGGAGAAATGCTAAATCTGTAGAAGAATTGAATAAATGAACCTCAAATCAATCCTCTAGGAATACTTTCTAATCTAAGTTTTTTGTAAATCTATACATACATGTGTGAAACCCACACCTAGTTTGAGCCCAGCTAAAAAAAAAAAGCTTTGACTCAAAACACCTGAATTAAGTATTACTTAATGTGTTTTTAATACATTTATAATCTCTATATAGTGTTCACACACAGATGGGTTTGTTTACTGTAACTTCAGTTAGAGAGTTATGTTTTAGTTCTAGACTTGGGTATACACTATATAACTGATTTAAAAGCTGTAACATCAACTAAAATATGCATTAGAAGCTGAGATTCCTAAGATTCAAGTTTTACCTGATAACTGTTTTGACTTTAGAAGGCTTGTTGCAGTAAATTCTATATTC